GTTGGGTTTTGCTTTGCCCAGCAACAAGCACTGGATGAGCGGCCCAGATGGTGACGAACTCGGGATCGGAAAACCGGTCCTTCCCGGGCGTCAGAGAACCCATCAGCTTTTCCCTCTCTCTCTTGCTGTCTCTCGCTGTTCTAGTTCCTCACCGTGTCTTGCTATCAATTGGGTTGGTGGTGGCGGCGGCAGCCCCCAAACACGCTCCTCCGCCCCGCCCCCCCGCATTGGCTCTCTAGCTCTTCCAAACTACTTCTGCCCATGACTGCATGTTTAAGGTTCTCATCCCTGTCTGTGTGTACACTGCACCCTCCGTGTAGGCAGTAGTTAGGAAAAAAATAAAAACCCCAGACAAAAATGGAGCATCGGAGCAGCCCGCCTTCTGTATCTTAGCGCTGTCAGGGTGTTTCCTTGCACAAGAGCTTAACGGGGGAGGGGAAAAGATGTTTAAAACACCCGGCGGCGAGAATGAAAAAAAAAAGTGTACATTTTTTAAAAAAAACTGGGGGGTGGGGAGATATTTATTCAGGCCGATATTTTTGAAACAGCATTAAAAACCGGTTGTATTTTTAAAAGCTGATATAATAATTCTCGGCGTACACATTGTGGTTCGGTCCTTAATTTTATTTGTGCTCAGTAAAAATTGTCCTGACTACACGAACGGGGGTCTTGTGTTCTGATGAAACGGGGGAGAGAGGGGAGATGGCTGGGGAAATCCGCAGGCTGCCGTTCGGATGCACAAGGGGCCGGTCTCGCTTTGCTGTTCGAGACACACTTTGGCCTTTACAGCCCCATTTTGTAGACGCTGCTTTTGAGAGTGTTTCTCAAAACTCTCTTCCCCCTTTGGGAGGATCGTGGGCGCAAACCTGCTGTTCTATAGAGAGCAATCGTGAACAGCAACCAGTAGTTACCAAAGAAAGGAAAACATTCCGTTTCACAGTTCCCACAGGTTGTGTTGAGTCCGGCAGCACCTTAAAGACCACCAGGATTTTCAGGGTACCAGCTTCCGAGAGTCAAAGGTCCCTTCGTCAGATATCTGGTATCTTTTGGAAGGAGCTTGACTCTCCAAACCTGACATCCCGAAAACCTCACTGGTCTCTTAAGGTGCTACCAAACTCCAATCCAGCTGCACCTTTTATGAGCATCTCCTTCCCTCTGTGCGCGGTCGGAAAGCCCTGCACTCTGCTTCAAAAGGCAGCCCGGGAGTGGCATCCGAAGCACAAGCCCCGGGTTCGAAACCAGCAAAGGTTGTCCTCGAGGGGAACACCCCCCCCCCCCCAGGATACTACCTCTTTGAGGTCTGTTCATACAGCCTCCCGGCTTCCTCCCACAGGGCAAGTTTCAGCATGAAAACCTGTGCGAATAAACTTCTGCCCTACATACAACCCAGATTGGCGGTTATTTGGGGACTGATAGAAGCTGACAGGTCCCCTTCATTGGCACAGGATTCTTTCCCCGGTGGTGCTTCTCGGAATCCCATTTTGCACACTGAGACCAACTTTAACTTTGGAAAAGGTTGATTCTTTGTCCGTTTATCGGCCTGGGGCTTCCACCCGTGGCGATCTCCCTCGAGGTCTTTGATCCAGAGGAGCTACCCGTGTTAGTCCCTTGCTGCAAAACGGTAAAAAGTCCAGTAGCGCCTTTCAGACTAACAGACTTTATTGCAGCTCAAGCTTTCGAGAAACACAGCTCTCTTCGTCAGATGAGTGTTAGTCCCTTGCTGCAAAATGGTAAAAAGTCCAGTAGCGCCTTTGAGACTAACAGACTTTATTGCAGCTTAAGCTTTCGAGAAACACAGCTCTCTTCGTCAGACGAGTGTTAGTCCCTTGCTGCAAAATGGTAAAAAGTCCAGTAGCGCCTTTGAGACTAACAGACTTTATTGCAGCTTAAGCTTTCGAGAAACACAGCTCTCTTCGTCAGACGAGTGTTAGTCCCTTGCTGCAAAATGGTAAAAAGTCCAGTAGCGCCTTTGAGACTAACAGACTTTATTGCAGCTTAAGCTTTCGAGAAACACAGCTCTCTTCGTCAGACGAGTGTTAGTCCCTTGCTGCAAAATGGTAAAAAGTCCAGTAGTACCTTTAAGACTAACAAACTTTATTGCAGCTTAAGCTTTCGAGAAACACAGCTCTCTTCGTCAGACGAAGAGAGCTGTGTTTCTCGAAAGCTTAAGCTGCAATAAAGCCTGTTAGTCTCAAAGGCGCTACTGGACTTTTTGCCATTTCTCAAGATCTTCGTACAGCTGTGGAAATGATGCGTTTTGGGATTTCCGATAAAAAAACAACCAAGAGAGTTTTAATACTTCTTTGGAGAGTTGACACATTCATTCTGGCTATCTGGCCATTCTGTGGCACATTACAAAGGGGGAGAAGTTCATTAAAAAGCACATTCTAAAAACTGCCCTTGCTTTTAGGGACAGTGAACACTGAAGGTGTTCCAGGGGTGGGGAAAGAGGATAACTACAGGTGCGGGGGGGTCGTTACTTCCTGCGGCTCCAGAATACCCAAGGGCAGATTAGCAAGGCGATCGTAGAAAGAAACACGGCCGTCCCAGCTGCGGCTGCCGTATGGCTTTCACAGAACGGGCAACCCAGGGATGGGGAAGGTCGCCGCAAAGGCCTCCACCTCTTCCCTGAGGGACTTCAGGGGCTCCCGGTACTTCTCGTCGGACACCAGCTTCTCCTTGAACTCCCGCAACGTCGCTTTGGGGCTCATGTCGTTCTGGACCCGCAAGGTGAGCTCGATCCCTGCAGAGGCGACAAAGAGGCACGAGCGGGTAAAGCCGGCTGAGCAAATCGGCGAGAAAGCCGGCCGGCTGAGCAAATCGGCGAGAAAGCCGGCCCGGCCCTCCTGGCGAACACAGAAGTAGCACAACGGGGTCGGTGGCGATAGGGGGGCAGCAGGGACGTCGCCTGATGTGCGTACAGGACGGAGGAAAGGCGTTTTTCAACCCAGGGAGGGACAAGGCTCTGCCTGCATGATTGTCTTGGAGATCCAAACACAACATCCATGACAAAAATAACGAAGAGTCAATAAAGAGGTTTTTGCAAAATCATTTACTGTAGTAATTCTGTAGAAAATCCTCTTCTATTATCTCACACACCGTGAAGACCTTGGGTTCTGTCATTAGAGAGGCAACATGGAATGTTTCCTTCAAGAGTTGATAAGTATTTTAAGTTATTTTATGCCAATAAAGGTCAACTGATGACTGATGAGTTGATAAGTAGAAATCAATAAGAATTGGGATCCTTCACTTGGAGTCTCAGAGTGGCTTACAACCTCCTTTCCCTTCCCCTCCCCACAACAGGCACCCTGTGAGGTGGGTGGGGCTGAGAGAGCTCTGACACAAACTGCTCTTTTCCAAGGACAGCTGTGCCAGAGCTTGTGACTGACCCAAGGTCACATCAGCAGGTGCGAGTGGGGAATCAAACCCGGTTCTCCCAGATTAGAGTCTGCGCACTTAACTACTACACCAAACTGGCTCTCTTTATTCACTCTTCGTTTTTTTTGTCACAGATGTTGTGTTTGGATTTCCACTTCCTCCCGTGACCTCACATTTTTGGCTCCTGCACGATTGTCTTGGCAGGCAAAGCCGGCGTCTGCGTACCCCAAGGTGGGTCAGCCGCCAGGGCTCAGGGTATCCAATTCCCACCAACCCCCTGCCCACCTCCCCTGCCACCTCCCGATGTGTCCTCCTCGCCTGCCCTCTCATCTGCAACTGTGGGAGGGGGCACAGGGAGGTGGGTGGCATGCCAGGGGGGCGGAGGAATGCACAGGGGGTCTAGTGGCGGGCAGAGAGGGCAATCGCTGCACGGGGCCCTCCCAGCCCTGTCGGCTGGCACACGGGCAGAGTCGGCCTGGCGCTCTCTAAACCGAAGCGAATTAAAACAGGCAGAGGAAGTGAGAGGCGAACACGTCCCAGAGCCGATTCTGCCCACGGAAGAGAACTGAGGCTGCCAGGAGATGGGGCAGGCCCCCACAGCTCAGTCTCCCTGAGAGCTGTGCCCCACAAGTAAAAATGCTAGACTGACCCATAGCCAAGCGCTGGTGAGGCTCCAAGCCCCGATCCCAAGATCTTGAAGAATTCAAGGCAATTTCCTCATTTTTTTTGCAGGGTTTAGGGAATCATCCCTTTTCCAGAAAACGGATTTGTACTACAACTCCGAACCACAAGGGGAACCATATTCATTTGTACCCCCATTTTCTCCCCACTGGGAACCCAAAGCAGCATATGTCGTTTTCCTGTTTTCTCCCAGGTTCTCACAACAGCCCTGTAAGGTAGGTTTGGCAGACCGTGCATGACTGGTGGGGTCTCCTGCTTTGGAGTTTTCCAAAGAGAGGCTAGATGGCCATCTGAAAGCCATGCTAATTCCGTGAACTTGGGCAGATCACGAGAAGGGAGGTCAGGAAGGGTTGCCTCAGTGCTTAGTTCTCGTGGCCCTTTCTTACACGTCCAGGGAACTGACGATCGCCACTTTGGGGTCAGGAAGCAATTTTCTCCAGGCTAGTTTGGCTGGACATCCTGCAGGGTTTTTTGGTCATCTTCTGGGAGTGGAACAGCAGACATTGGAGGTGTGGGGAAAGGTAGTTGCTAATTTCCTGCACTGGGGGGGTTGGACTAGATCAGTGGTGGCGAACCTATGGCACGCGTGCCAGAGGTGGCACTCAGAGCCCTCTCTGTGGGCAAGCGTGCCATCGCCCCAGCCAGGCCCAGTCTGTCATTAAAGTGTCGAATTCTCTGCCAAATAATTTTAAGTAAATGAAAGCATTTGGGATTGCTTTCCTTACTTTGTTTGGATCATCTTAAGTTAATGTATGAGTTGTTTTTTCTAAACAAAAACCTTAGTATTCAGGTTAAACTGCCGTGTTGGCACTTTGCAATAAATAAGTGGGTTTTGGGTTGCAGTTTGGGCACTCGGTCTCTGAAAGGTTCGCCATCACTGGACTAGATGAACCTGGAGATCCCTTCCAACTTTATGATTCTATGATTCCAAGCTGCATTGGGTCCTCCCTTGTGGAGAAAGGCGGCGTGCAAATGAATGAAAGAAATAAAAACAGAGCGAAGCAGGAAACAAACTGTGCGGTCCGACCCGCCCCTTCAGAACTTGCAGACTTTACCTTTATGAATGAAGTGAGCCACCTTTTGGAAGTCCTTTTCCATGAAGCCCCTGGAGGTGAGTGCCGGGGTCCCTAACCTCAGACCGCTGGGCCGCAAGGCACTCTTGTCCCCTGTGCAGGAAAAGATATTTAATTTATCCATTTGCATCACTTGCGCCCTTGACCCGGATCTCATCAGATCTCTAAAGCGATGCAGGATTGGCCCTGCTTAGCACTTGGGTGGGAGACCAACGAGCAAGGCTCCCTCTAAGCTGTAGAGTCTTGTGAGCAAAAGTTCTACTTTGTGAGCTCCTGGCATGAAAGTTGTGAGCGAGCGATTGGGCTGCTGCACAAATTAGCTTGCTCCAGAGCCCATCCTTCCTGAGCTGAGACAAAAATGTGTGAGCTGGAGGCTAAAAAACTGTGAGCCGGCTCACACTAACTCAGCTTAGAGGGAACACTGCCCCCGAGAAACTCCAGCTGTTGCTATGCAGAGGCAGGCCATGGCAAACCACCCCCCCACAAGCGGACTCCCCGCCCGCCACCCTCCTCACCTGGGCAGGTGTTCTTGTTGCAGGCGACCGAGCACAGTTCGAGAACCCGTTCCGCTCGCCCGCCGTCTGTTCCTTTGCTCCGCAGGTCCACCAGGATCAGGTGGTTGTCGGACCCCCCTGGAATACAGCCCCAAGAGAATAGTGATAAAAAAGCACCCACGATCCACAGTGCTGGAATCGGGAATTTACGAGGCGGCTGTAGGCAGGGGACTCTTACTCCCTCCCCTGTCTAGGAATTAGAATGCTGGCCGAACAACCAGGGCCAGGGCCTTTTCGGTGGCGGCTCCATCCTGGTGGAATGAGCTCCCAGAGGAGATCAGGGCCCTGCGGGACTTGATGCAGTTCCGCAGGGCCTGCAAGACGGAGCTCTTCCGCCAGGCCCTTGGTTAAGGAGCTGCCACCACCACCAAGTATACCCTCATTAACGTTATTAGAGCCCGTTCCCTGGTTTTCATCGTTTACAACTCGTGCCAGCGTCTTCTGCATATAACGATTAAGGAGCTGAGAAACATAGCAGATTGTAGAACGTATTGATATGACTGTACCGCCATCTTTAACTATTTATATCTACTTAGCTAGCACTTTATGATTGAGGATTGCTTTAAACTGGTTTTATCTATGTTTACAATTGTCTATTTATATTTTATCTTTTGTAAGCTGCCCTAAGCCTGACTTGGCAGGGAGGGCGGGGTATAAATTCAACTAATAAATAGATACATAAATAAATAAGTAAAAACACTTTCTAATCTACGAGAGCGCCAATAGATATAAAGTTCTCTGAATTTTGTAAGTAGCCTACAAAGAGTAACAATGTCTAATTACTGGCATTTCTTCCACCCTGCCCCCAACAAAACAAGATCCTGAGAGATACAGGTCCGTGTGCCGGTCGCTTCTTACCGGTAACAATGTGGTACCCGAGGCCCATCAGCGCCTTCGCCAGGGCTTTGCAGTTGGCCACCACCTGCCTCTGGTAAGCTTTGAATTCCGGAGTCATGGCTTGCTTCAGAGCTACAGCAATTCCTGGGCAAGAGCAAAAAGGAAAGATGGGACGCAACACATTAGGGGGCACGAAGGGGTGGAAAAAGTGCCATCAAGTCGAAGCCCTGTAGGCGACCCTGTAGGGTTTTTCAAGGGAAGGGATGTTCAGAGGTGGTCTGCTATTGCCTGCCTCTGTGGAGTGGCCCTGGACTTACTTTCTTTTTTCCAAAAAATAACTGTTTATTTAAAGCTTTTTCAAATACAACAATAGACAATAACAACTTAGAATCATAGAATGTTGGAGTTGGAAGGGATCTTGCAGGTCATCTAGTCCAGCCCCCTGCCCTCTGCAGGAGCGTAGCCGAAAGACAGCCCTGCAACATACCCGAAAGATGGTCGTCCAGCCTCCGTTTGAAAACATCCAGCGAAGGAGCATCCACCACCTCCCGAGGCAGTCTGTCCCTCGGCTCAATTGTTAATTTAATTTAATTGAGTTAACTCAATTGTTAACTTATTTAACGAAAGTCATTTGTAACTGAAAAACATCACTCGATAAAAATAAAAAAAATCCACATATTTTTTCCCAGTAGAGCGTTGTCATCGTATACATTCTTATTAGCACATTCAAAAAAAAGGGGAACCGTTTTTCACGAAAACTACTTTTGTTTCAACGGGTTTTCCGCAGATACTATTTGGGAGGATAACTTACCCATCACAGTCATGTCCCAGAGTTAAGTAAACCATTGTTTGACCAATGGGATTTTTTCTGTTTTCCAACAGCTGTCAATATTTTAGCAGCTAACAGTATTCAAGAAAAAAGTTCTACCCCTGGACTTTCTCCATGTACAAACCCAGCCCAACCCTGCTTCTGCTTAGCTCCTGAAATCTGATGAGATTTGCTAGCCGGGGCTTTCCAGGTCAGGGCAAAGAAGCAGAACCGTATTTTGCCATCCCCTGTCTCTGTTCCTTAGTGGTCTGCCAGGGGTCTTTTTGTAGAAAAAGAGCTGCAGGAGCTCATTAGCATACGGTATGCTAATGAGCTACTAGGCTATTAGCATATGCCACGCCCCCTGACATCACCGGAAGTGATGTCAGAAGGGGAAGCAAAGGGGGGGCATCTTCAAAAGCCTCCCCTTCCCTTCCTCAGCTGGCCTGCGGGGGGGGGGGCAACGAGAGAAGGGGTTTAAAGTTTAAACCCCTTCTCACTAGAGCTGGGCCGCAGGAGGAGGAAAGAGGGAAGGAAAGCGAGAGAGTAGAGAAGGAAAGAAGGAAGGAAAGAGAAGGAAAGAAGGAAGAAAAGAGGAAAAGAAAGAGAAGGAAAGAAGGCGGGAGGAAAGAGAAAGAAAAGAAGGAAAAGAAAAGGAAAGGAGGGAAAGATGGCAAAGAGATGGAGGGAGGGAGGCCGCGCTCCGGCCCCAAATGACCCCTGGTGGTCTCCCATCCAAGGACTAACCAGGGCTGACAGTGCTCCCTCTAAACCGTGGAGTCTTGTGAGCAAAAATTCTACTTTGTGAGCTACTGGCGTTAAAAGTTGTGAGCTCCTGCCTAAATCAGTTTGCTCTGGAGCGCTCCCTTCCTGAGCTGAGACAAAAATGTGTGAGCCGGAGGCTAAAGAACTGTGAGCTGGTTCACACTGACTCATCTTAGAGGGAACACTGGACTGCTCAGCTTCCGAGATCTGGCAAGACTGACCCAGCCTGGCCCAAGGCAGACTCAAATGGAAGGCTGTTCATCAAAGATTTTGGCCAGGACCAATAAGTGAGGGATTGGAGTATCTGGACTGGTGAAAGGACAATACAGGTGAACGGTAACCTTGACGGGGATAACTGACAGGTGTCTGGGCTGCGTTTGACTCTGCCATTGGGCCCCATAAACCTCCACTGCCCCAAGTTTCCACGGTCCGGATTTTGGAGACCCTCTCACCTGCAATGGCGTGGTTGTGGGGCCCTCCCTGCAGCCCCGGGAAAACGGCTTGATTGATGAGGCTTTCGAGGTTGTACGGGACTTCCTTCCCAGTTTTCGGGTCCACGCTGCGAGCACCTGAACAGGAGGGGAGAAAAGCAGTGGCCATTGGGATGAATGGTCCCCACTGGCCCTTTTCCCGAGGGTTCCAGCTTTGTCGGTGCGATTGGACGTCAAGATCCAAATACGGTCAACAAGGCAAGAGCGGAGAGGGACCACAGCCCAACTTCAGAGCACCAAGAACACAAGAGCGTCACTGCCCCAGACGGAGTGTCCCATCTAGACCTGGTGGCTAATAGCCACAGACGGACCTCTGCGCCAAATGTCAACCCAGTCCCCTCTTGAAGCTATCTGTGCTTGTAGCCGCCGCCACCACTTCCTGAAGCAGTGAATTCAATATTGTCTACTCAGACCGGCAGTGGCTCCCCAAGTTCTCAAGTCCAAAGGTTCTTTCAGACCACCTACTACCTGGTTGTTTGCCTGGAGATGCCACGGACTGAACCTATTCACCTTCTAAACACCAGAAAATGCCTTCGGCTGAATCAGACCATCAGCCAATTCTTGGCAGCAGTATTGGCAGCAATGCTCCATGGTCTCACATCACCTCCTGCCTGGTCCTTTTTAACAGGAGATGCCAGGGACGGAACCTGGGACCTTCCGCATGCCAAGCAGAGGCTCTTCCACTGAGCCACAGCCCCTCTTTACAGCTCTCTGGGGTCTCAGGCGGAGGTCTTTCCCATCACCTCCTGCCTGGTCCTTTTTAACTGGAGATGCCGGGGAATGAACCTGGGACCTTCTGCAATGCCAAGCAGAGGCTCTGCCACTGAGCCACAGGCCCTCCTGACAGCTCTCCAGGGTCTCAGGCGGAGGTCTTTCCCATCACCTCCTGCCTGGTCCTTTTTAACTGGAGATGCCGGGGATTGAACCTGGGACCTTCTGCATGCCAAGCAGAGGCTCTGCCACTGAGCCGCAGCCCCTCCCAAAAGTCAATCATAAACAGGATTGGTGATAGAAAGTGCTGTCCAGTTGCAGCTGACTTTTGCCTACTCCATAATTTTCAAGGCAAGAGACGTTCAGTGGTGGTTTTGCCACCGCCTGCCCCTGTGTATCAACCCTGGACTTCCTGGGCGGCCTCCCATCCAAGCACTAACCAGGGCCGACCCTGCTTAGCTTCTGAGATCTGACGAGACTGGCTAGCCTGGGCCATCCAGGTCGCGATTGGTGGTGGACAGCGTTATCGAATAGCAGCTGACGTGGCGACCCCGTAGGGTGTTCAAGGCAAGAGGTCAGCAGAGGTGGTTTGCCCTTGCCTGCCTCTGCGTAGCAACCCTGGACTTCTTTGGCGGACTCCCATCCAAACTCTAACCAGGGCTGACCCTGCTTATCCTTCAAGATCTGACAATATCGGGCTCTCCTGGACCATCCAGTAGGAGTAGGTCCTATTGGGTCATGTGGAACAACAATCTGACTCGGGAGAACCCCTCTTCCCACATTCTTCATCGAAACATGGCGCTCTCGGGCAAATCCCGCTCTCCCGTAACTGCTCTGGTCATCCCAGGAGGTCTGTCCGCTTTCCCGTTCCCACGTTAACCGGCGTTTAGCCATCCCAGGACCCTCACCTTTCCTGTAGAAGATCATGCCCGCCCGGCACCCTCGTAGTGTTTTGTGGGTTGTGGTGGAGACCACGTCGCAGTCCTCGAAGGGTGATGGCACCACGCCGGCGGCCACCAAGCCGCTGATGTGGGCCATGTCGGCCATCAGGTAGGCACTGTTCTCGTTGGCGATTTTCCTCAGGCGGGCGTAGTCCAGGTTACGGGAGTAGCAGCTGACCCCTAAAGGTACAAACAAGACAGCTTCCTGGTTTAAAAGGAACCAGGGGGCAGCCGGTTGTCTTAACCGAGAGGGAGTTTTTCTCCCATGGAGAGAAGGAAAGATAAGCAGGGGAGAAGCAAAAATGTCTGGAGACGCTAGATCAGAATTCCCCAACCACTTGGAGCCTGAGGGCACCTGTGGGATTCTGAGACAGCACGGTGGGCATTTCCACAAAAGGGCCGTCAAAGGGGGCGGAGCCAGCCGCCAAAGGGCTGCCAATGGGGGCGGGGCCAGCCGCCAAAGGGTCGCCAAAGGGGGCGGGGCCAGCCGTCAAAGAGCCGTCAAAGGGGGCGGAGCCAGCCACAAAAGAGCCGCCACCACTTACCTTCAGTCACACAGGGAAAGTCCTTGCCTTCTAACATTTTTAAGATTGTTCGCAGCCAATCAAATCTCTAACGGTCAGTCAGAGGCCTTGCTGGGAGCCCCACCCACTTTCTAAGAACACTCAGCGGGCTCCGGGAAAGGTGTTGGCAGGGGCTGTGGCGCCCCCGAGGACCAAGTTGGGGAAGCCTGTGCTGGATTATGTGATAGTTCTCCTGGTAGGGGGGATGCAGCTTGGAACCTTCTGGATGTAAGGAGAGCTCTTCTGGTTTCAGAAGTCCACCCTGCAATGATTTCATGTTTTGGTGTGTGTTTCTTTAAATGTTTAGTTTGACTGCAGTACTGTAAGAAGAGTGATAGAGGGAGGTAAGTGTGATGTGATTGGCTGATGAATTAGAGTGTGGGAGGAGGGGTGCCTATGAGAGGGATTCTGTGTGTGAAGTTTGAAGAGAGCATAGTTTGTGAGAGTATGGGAGTTTTTCAGTTTATCCTGTGTGAATAAGACAAACAGTTTAGTCTGTGTGAATATAAGTCTATTCTGTGTGAATAAGACAAAGAGTTCAGCCTGTGTGGCTATATAGATGAGAAAGAGAGAGATTGGACTGAGTGTCTACGCCTGTGAGTGGAGTTTTGGGAGTCTGAGAGACTGTTTGTGACAGCAAGCGTTGCCAGTTATATTTACTACTTCCCTTCATCAGCAATAGTTCAAAATAACCAGAAACATATTTTGTTCTTTATTAAATAAATAATTTTTGTTTAAACTTATCCCAGAAATCAGAATGGTCCTTCCTCAGGGCCACATAGTCCTCTGAAGTACCCAGACCCTGGGTCATTCTACCAAAAGAGAGGTATTTGGAATTTCCAATTCCTGGTGGCAGCAGCAATATACCACGTTTAGGTACACAGAGAGTGTTTTAAAGGTAAAACCATCTCCCCTATAAGCAAGGACACCACATACCCCTTTCTCAGATTATTACCTGCAATGATCAGTTTGGGATGGAACAGGCGAGCGTTCTCTTCTAACCGGTCGTAGTCAATATAGCCTGTTTCTGGGTTGACCTAGAAACAAGAGGGGGAATGAATGGGGTTCCGACTTCTGAGGCTCACAGGACAGTGGCCAGAGGAGACGGCAGTGGGCACCAGCAATCTGATTCCATGGGTCAAAATTGTTCTGTTAACCAATAATGGAAGCCAGGACTTTTGTTTGCGTACACGGGCTTTAGGAGGTGTTTTTACATGCCACAACACCCCTGTCAAATGTTAGCATGTCATGTGCAAGCATCATTCTCCTTAAAACCCAGCATGGCGTAGTGGTCGGAGTGTCGGTCCAGGCTCTGGGAGACCCACATTTGACTCTCCCACTCTACCAGAGAAATTCACTGGGTGACCTTGCGGCCAGTCACACACTCTCGGCCTACCTTGCAGGGTTGTTGTGAGGATGAAATGGAGGGGAGGAGAACAGTGTGAGCTGCTTGGGGGAGAAAGAAGAGGAAGAGAAGAAGAAGAAGAGATTGGATTTGTACCCTGCCCTTCACTCAGAGTGGTTTACAACGTCCTTCCCTTCCCCTCCCCACAAAAGACACCCTGTTAGGCAGGTGGGGCTGAGAGAGCTCTTTCGAGAACTGCTCTTGAGAGAAGGCGTGACTGACCCAAGGTCACACCAGCAGCTGCATGTGGAGGAGGAGTGGGGAATCAAACCCAGTCCTCCCAGATTACAGTCTGCCGCTCTTAACCACTACACCAAACTAGCGCTTTTGCAAAACAGCTTGCTTCATCCGATACGTGAAGTGCTTCTCCATTAGGCAGACACACATATATTAAAAGCTGCAAGCAACCAGAATATAGTATACAAATGTATCTGCCTAACCCAGATACTTTCTGTGGATCTGATAAAATGAGCTCTGGGTCACACCACTTTTGGCTGCAATCAATTCTGTTGAGCCTTTAAGTCGCCACCAGACTTCACTTTGAGTTGTTCGTGTAATGACATCTATCTTTTATGAGCTTTCCTGAGTCACTGCTCAGTACTTCAGGTATCTTTAAGGTACTACTGGACTCTTGCCAGTTCGGCATAGTGATTAAGAGCACGGACTCTAATCTGGGAGAACCGGGTTTGAGTCCCCACTCCTCCACATGCAGCTGCTGGTGTGACCTTGGGTCAGTCACAAGTTCTCTCAGAGCTGTTCTCTCAAGGGCAGTCCTCGAAAGAGCTCTCTCAGCCCCACCGACCTCACAGGGTGTTTGTGGTGGGGACGGGGAGGGGAAGGAAATTGTCAGCCGCTCTGAGACACCTTTGGGTAGTGAAGGGCGGGGTCTAAGTCCAACCTTTTCTTCATCTACTACTACCGCTTACCTTGTACGGCATGGATTCAAAGAAGATGGAGGTGGCCGAGATCTTCTTCTTGTCCGTCATGAAGCCGTGCGTCAGGTGACCCCCGTCGGGCAAATCCAGCCCCATGATTCTGCCGTGGGGTTCCACCAGGGCGGTGTAGACGGCAAAGTTTGCGGGAGACCCTAAGGGGAGAGGAAGAAAACCCTGAGCCCACGGAGCCCAAAGAAGGCATTTACAGTTCCATCCTCAGTGGGGGTCTGCTGTCTATCTGTCGGTTTGCACGCCCACGGCATGCGGGACGTCATCCGAGAACGGGTTGCTTCTGCTGCCTTTCTTTTCTTTGCTTTGAACGCTCATGCTTGAAAAAGAACGTGAGATTTCAAAGCTCCGTTCCACTCTTTAAAGACTCCCAGTTCCTCGATTCTGCGCTTCTCTCCCATGTGAACCTACAAAGCTCTGTTCTGCAGAGTCTGACCACTGGATGACATTGTTTTCTGCTCAGCCTGGAGCCCACTCCCCAAAGCTTGAGACAGAAGCAAGTGTTTTCAGCATCTCCTGGCTTCTGCATGCAAGATTTGAGTCCCGTGCCGCCTTAAAAAGACCAACAAGATGTCCAGGGCAAGTAGAATCAAGTCCAGCAGCACCCAAGAGCCAGTTTGGTGTAGTGGTTAAGAGTGCAGACTCTAATCTGGGAAAACCGGGTTTGATTCCCCCACTCCTCCACTTGCAGCTGCTGGTGTGTCCTTGGGTCAGTCACAAGTTTTTCCAGAGCTGTTCTCTCAGGATCAGTCCTTGAAAGAGCTCTCTCAGCAACACCTCCCTCACGGGGTGTCTGTTGTGGGGAGCAGAAAGGGAGTTTGTAAGCTGCTCTGAGACTCCTTCGGGTAGTGACGGGCGGGGTATAAATCCAATCTCTTTTTCTTTCTCTTCTGAGAGACCAACAAGATTTTTAGTGGATGAGCTTTGACTCTTGGAAGTTTATACCCCTCAAAATCCTGTTGGTCACTTAAGGTGGTTCTGGACTCTAGCCCTGACCTGGATTCCCCAGGCTAGCCCGATCCCATCAGATCTCGGAAGATAAGCCGGGTCAGCCTTGGCTAGTCTTTGGAAGGGTGACCTCCAAGGAATACCAGGGTCGTGACGCAGAGGCAGGCAACAACGAACCACCTCTGAAACGTCTCTTGCCTTAAAAAACAAGTCTAGCTCGCCACCTGGTGGTACATAAGGCTAAAAGAGCTAGAACTTGTGGCTGCCAGACAATCTTAGGATCTCCTGGCTATTCTACACACAATGCCATACGACAATCAATCGATTAATTAATTCGGGACTCGAATCTGACTGTTCCACAGCAGACCGACGCGGCTACCCTCTGAAGGTTTCCAGGGTGTCGGCTTTCCAGACTCAAAACTCTCAACTTTCCAAATTCAGACTCTCAAAAGCTTACTCTGCAGAAATCTTGTGGGTCTCTAAGGTGCGGCTGGACACGAATCTGGCTCTTCCGCTGCAGACCCCCTTTGCCACCCGCCTGAAATTTCCTGCATGCAAGGTACTGAGCCATAAAAACCTTCCGCAGGGCCTGTAAGACAGGGCTCTTCTACCAGGACTTCAACTAAGGGGCCGCCACCATTACCAACAACAACTGGAAGCTATAGAGCCCTGGCCCTTGGCTTGCTATTGACAGCCTGCGCCTGCCGATTATACCTGGGAAAGATCAACGAGCGGAAGATCTAGATCCGGGGTGTCGAACTCATTTGTTATGAGGGCCGGATATGACATAAATGAGACCTTGTTGGGCTGGGCCATGTGTGTCCTAAAATGTAATGCCAGGTAGCGGAGATATAAACTTGATAAAGGACACAAACACAAAGGGCTTTTTTAACTTAAAATAAAAACATGCTTAAAACATTTAGCACTCCTGCAATATCCTGTTTATTTAACAGTGTCTGGTAACTGACACCTCTTGCTCTGAATTATCGCGTTAAAATGTCTGTGCTGTTGCAATCCTGAGGGTGCTGTTCAGGTGTGTATCTGTAAGCTTCAAACCTACGATGACGCAGCAGCAGTAGAACTGGAAGAAGAAGCAGAAGACAGCCAGTTCCACTGTGAGCCTGAGAGAAGCCCTCCGGGGGCCTCATCCGGCCCCCGGCCCGCATGTTTGACACCCCAGATCTAGATAACCTATTGCACGCACTCATATGGTACTGGCATCGCTATGAAATTAAACCGACATGGCTCGCCCTTGATGATACTGTACTGTTTTATAATGAACCGTTCTTAAAGATGTTTTTATGGTAATTTAATTGTTATTTATGTATTTGCTTATAGGTAAGCCGCCCTGAGCCCACCTCGGCGGGGAGGGCGAGGATATAGATTAATTAATTAAATAAATAACTCTTTTTCAAGACTACAGGGCGGCAGTGTTCCCTCTAAGCTGAGTTAGTGTGAGCTAGCTCACAGGTTTTTAGCCTCCGGCTCACAGATTGTTATCTTAGCTCAGGAAGGATGTGGCTCCAGAGCAAACTAATTTATGCAGTAGCCAAATCGCTCGCTCACAACTTTAATGCCAGTAGCTCACAAAGTAGAAGTTTTGCTCACAAGACTCCACAGCTTAGAGGGAACATTGCAGGGCGGCAGACTCTTTTTGCTACTTGAGAGACGGCGTACAGGCTCCCCCCCCCACTCTGCCCCCACCTTCTGATTTCCACTCTGGCTGCCTTCAAGGAGGGGTCCCCCCCTCCGTGTTTTTAGAATCTGGGTGGGCCTTTTGTCCAGCTAGGCTTCGGATTGGTCACCGGAGCTTTGATTGGCGGTGCGGGTTTTTAAAAACATTGCTTTGGCTGTAGCGGCCACTCGAGCACAAGGATCTCCACTGTGTGACTGAAGGGAAGCCGCGGCAGCCATTTTCTTTCTGGCTCCGCCCCCTGTGGCAGCCATCTTTGTGTCTGCATCCATCACATTGTCAGAATTCCAAAGGTCCCCACATGCTCAAAAAGATTGGGGACCCCTGTCTTAAGCAAGTCAAAAGTTTTGAGGAAGTTATGCTCTGTCTTCTTGGAGCTTGGGAGGCCACAGTGGGAGGTCTTCTGGAGTTCTGGCCCCACTCCTGGTGGACCTCCTGATGGCACCTGGGCTTTGGCCACTGTGTGACACAGAGTGTTGGACCGGATGGGCCACTGGCCTGATCCAACAAGAGTTCTCTTACGTTCTTATGTCTGGGGCAGGTATGCTCTGTTTTCTTGGTGCTTGGCGCGCCACAGTTGGAGGGATTCTGGAGTTCTGGTCCCGCTGGTGGACCTCCTGATAGCAACTGGGTTTTGGCCACTGTGTAACACAGAGTGTTGAACTGGATGGGCCATTGGTCTGATCCAACATGGGTCCTCTTACGTTCTTATGTCTGGGGCAGTGATGCTCTGTCTTCTTGGTGCTTGGGGGGCAAGAGTGGGAGGGCTTCTGGAGTTCTGGTCCCGCTGGTGGACTTCCTGACAGCAACTGGGTTTTGGCCACTGTGTGCCACAAGAGTGTTGGACTGGATGGGCCATTGAGCTGATCCAACATGGGTCCTCTTACATTCTTATGTCTGGGGCAGTGATGCTCTGTTTTCTTGGTGCTTGGGGGGCAACAGGGGGAGGGCTTCTGGAGTTCTGGCACCGCTGGTGGACCTCCTGATGGCCCCCGGGGTTTTGGCCACTGTGTGACACAGAGTGTTGGACTGGATGGGTCACTGGCCTGATCCAACATGGCTCCTCTTACATTCTTATGTCTGGGGCAGTGATGCTCTGTCTTCTTGGTGCTTGGGGGGCAAGAGTAGGAGGGCTTCTGGAGTTCTGGTCCCGCTGGTGGACTTCCTGACAGCAACTGGGTTTTGGCCACTGTATGCCACAAGAGTGTTGGACTGGATGGGCCATTGGCCTGATCCAACATGGTTACTCTTACATTCTTATGTCTGGGACAGTGATGCTCTATATTCTGGGTGATTGGGGGGCAAACGTGGGAGGGCTTCTGGAGTTCTGGCACTGCTGGTGGACCTCCTGATAGCAACTGGGTTTTGGTCACTGTGTGACACAAGAGTGTTGGACTCGATGGGCCATTGGCCTGATCCAACATGGCTTCTCTTACATTCTTATCCCCAGCCCGCTATGCCTACTTGAAGGACCAGACTCTAGAGTACCTGAGTAGGGTTGGACGTTGATGCCCCATTTCTGTGGATCCAACCCGTAAGCATCCAGAGCTCTCTTCTGACACAGTCTCTCCAACTCGTCCACAAACTCTGTCCCACCATAGTATCTAAGGAGAAAGACCAAAACCGACATTTTAATACATCAGAAAAGCAACTTACGGTCTCCATTCATAGTCCAACCTTTAAGACCAACAAAGGTTTATTCAAGGTATAAGCTTTCGTGTGCAAGGCACACTTTTTCCAATACAGTGGAATGGAAGATGAGGTTCTAAACTTATAGACAGGGACGTAACAGCAAATTAACATGTAACATGATGATGTTTAAGTTATGCAAAGTGAAATACTAAATAAGTTAAGGTTATAAGGTCAATAGCTGTAAAGCAATAAATATGTCACAATAGCAGATAAATATCTAAAGGTGTTATTTCGAATTGTGGGAAGTAACAGAATCTTAATTATCTCCCCTGAGGCGTAGAGGGTGCGTGGAAGGCACTTTGAGATGGATGTAATGTTGTCAGCAGACATCCATTCAGTATCCTAATATACTATTCTGAAAAAGAAATACACTAAAATACAGAGGATTTATAGTCCTTCTTGTTGAGAATACATACGTGAGGACTGAATGAGTTAGCATATGTAATGGGATAAAAAAACCAATATCCCTGTTGAGTCCTGGGGAGATTTTTGTTCCAAGTGTTGTAATAACTTGTAATTCAGCAATTTCCCTTTCCATTCTGTTCCTGAAGTTCCTTTGTAATAAAACAGCTTCAGACCAACATGGCTGACTACCTGGATCGGTCTCCATTCGTGTTTGAGTGGAGCTACCCAATCTGCAGTTTCAGCATGAGGTGGTGCTTACAGTAGGGTCTCCCACAATGTAGTCTGTGTCAGGCTGAATCTGGGAAACCCAGGTTCGAATCCCCACTCCGCCACACAAGTTCGCTGGGTGACCTTGGCCCAGTCACAGACTCAGGCTAACCTACCTCACAGGGCTTATACCCAGTTTCTTTTTTTAAAAAAACAATTTTTTAATTTACATTTTTAAGGGGATACAGAAAGAAAAAAGGGAATAGGGAAAAGCTGATAGGAAATATAGTTACCAAAAACACAATGTAAGGGCAATTTTGAGGGGTTGCGGTGGCTCAGAGGTTAAGAGGCTGAGCTGCAGAGCAGAAGGTTGGTAGTTTGGTAGTTCGAGACCCGAGTGCCGTGTGACAGAGTGAGCTCCCAGCTCTGGCCCTGACTCCTGCCAACCTAGCAGTTTGAAAGCAAGAAACTGCAAGTAGATAAATAGGAACTGCTTTGGTGGGAAGGTAACAGTGTTCCGTGCGCCTTGGTGTTTAATCATGCTGGCCACATGACCACGGAGAAGCCTTTGGACAGTGCTGACTCTTCGGCTTGGAAATGGAAATGAGCACCGCCCCCTGGAGTCAGATTCGACTGGCTTTCTAGCAAGGGAAACCTTTACTTTTTTAATGGCAATTTTGCAGATATATACGTGGAGGAGTGATCAGAGTCCGCACTCCTAACCACTACACCAAACTGGCTCTGAATGAATCCAATAAATATATTGTTTTTGCGGTTGAATTCTTTAAAGATTTGTTTAGACCAGTGATGGCGACCCTTTTAGAGACCGAGTGCCCAAACTGCGACCCAAAACCCACTTATTGATCGCAAAGTGCCAACACGGCAATCTAACCTGAATACTGAGGTTTTACTTTAGAAAAAACAACCTATACATTAACTTTAGATGATCCAAACAAAGTAAGGAAAGCAATCCCAAATGCTTTAATTTACTTAAAATTATTTGGCAGAGAATCCGACACTTTAATGATGGTCTGGGCCTGGCTGGGGCGATGGCACGCGTGCCCACAGAGAGGGCTGAGTGCCACCTCTGGCATAGGTTCGCCACCGCTGGTTTAGACCGGGGGGGGGGGGGGGGGGAGAGACACACATAAACCAACGATCCCAACCCCTGCTAGCATCCTCCAAGAGAAGACAACACTTTTCTTCTTCCAGATAAAGAAACACAGACTCAGTCAGAACTTAAGCCACGCCCCCCCTGCCCACCTTTGTCCAGGGTAGCCTTCCGAATACTTGTTGTTCAGACAGGAGCCGAGAGCTTCCAGCACGGCTCGACTGGCAAAGTTCTCGGACGCGATCAGCTCCAAACCGAGCCGCTGCCGCCGCTTCTCCTTCCGAATGATGTCATACACCTTTGGCAAGAGGAGAAAAGAGACGCTGCTCATGTCCAAGCCCAGCAGGGCTAGTAGGCCCGATGGAAGTCCATGTTTGAGCGTTTCTCTCAACTGTGTCCAGCCCCAAAAGAAACCACGCAAAGTTGATTAGCAGGGCAGGGGGGTTGCGTCGCCACATCTAAACTGGGAAGCGTGGCGCTCTGAGAGAGCCGGGAGAACATTTGCCAGCAAGATGCGCAACAGCACTGCATGGAAGAACATGCACGCTCACTTCTGTAAGAAGAAGAGATTGGATTTATACCCCGCCCTTCACAAGGAGTCTCAGAGAGGCTCACAATCTCCTTTCCCTTCCTCTCCCCACAACAGACACCCTGTGAGGGAGGTGGGGATGAGAGAGCTCTGAGAGAACTTCCCTTGAGAGAACAGCTCTGAGAGAGCTGTGACTGACCCAAGGTCACCCAGATGGCTGCATGTGGAGGAAGAAGATGAAGAAGAGATTGGCTTTATACCCCGCCCTTCACACGGAGTCTCAAAGCAGCTCACAATCACCTTCCCCTTCCTCTCTTCACAACAGACACCCTGTGAGGTAGGCGGGGCTGAGAGAGTTTTGAGAGAACTTCCCTTGAGAGAACAGCTCTGAGAAAACTGTGACTGACCCAAGGTCACCCACCTGGCTACATGTGGAGGAGGAGTGGGGAATCAAACCCCAAATCCCAGCAGAGATGATAAACAGCAGTAGAGAAGAGAAGAACAGATTGGATTTATACCCCACCCTTCACTCAGAGTGGCTTACAAACTTTTTTCCCTTCCCCTCCCCACAACAGACACTCTGTGAGGTAGGTGGGCCTGAGAGAGCTCTGAGAGAACTGCCCTTGAGAGAACAGCTCTGACAGAGCAGTGATTGACCCAAGGTCACCCAGCTGGATGCATGTGGAGGAAGAAGATGAAGAAGAGTTGGATTTATACCCCGCCCTTCACTCGGAGTCTCAGAGCGGCTTACAATCTCCTTCCCCTTCCCACAACAGACACCCTGTGAGTTAGGTCGGGCCGAGAGAGTTTTGAGAGACTGCTCTTGAGAGAACAGCTCTGAGAGAACTGTGACTGACCCAAGGTCACCCAGATGGCTGTATGTGGAGGAGTGGGGAATCAAACCCCACTGTAAGAGCTATAGGTGGGCACAGAGCAGGGGTTAGAGCACTACAGTAGGATCTGGGACATTCAGGTTCGCATCCCCCTTTAGCCACAGAAGTTTCCTGAGTGTCCTTTGCCCTGTCGCCCACTCTCAGCTGAACCTACCTCACAGGGTTGTTGTGGTGGTTAATCTGGGAGAACCGGGTTTGATTTTCCACTCCTCCACTTGCAGCTGCTGAGTGACCTTGGGTAAGCCATAGTTCTGTCAGAGTTGTTCTCTCAAGGGCAGTTCTCTCAGAGCTCTCTCAGCACCACAGGGGGTGTCTGTTGTGGGGAGTGGAAGGGAAAGGAGTTTGTAAGCCGCTCTGAGACTCCGAGTGAAGGGCGGGCTATAAATCCAATCTCTTCTTCTTCTCTTCTTCTTGTGAGAATAAAACAGAGAATGCTGGAAGCCACTTTTGGTTCCCGTTAGGGAGAAAAGAGGAAGTATCAGTGAAGTAAACATTTACAGGGTGACTTCATCCATTTATTTATTTAATGGATTGGTTTGAAGGACTGACCTGTTGTCATGCCCGAAGCAAGATCTGAACTGGGGGTTTTCCACCCCAACCTCTTAGCCAGTTGTTACACCAGCTCTGGAAAAGGTTAAGCCAAATTGCACTGGAAGTCCCTGTGGAACGAGTTCAAATCCAGCAAGGGCTGGAGCCAAACCAGCTGCAGATTTCTCAATGAATGGCGTCACTGTACCTACGTCAATGAACCCTTCCCATCCTCCCGGCCCCACACTGCAATGCCCTCGGCTTCCAAGAGTTCATGACAGTGACGTCCGTTAAGCATTTCTGCCAAAATCTATATGACCTTCTAACCTCTGGGTCATTGGTGTCCAGCGGTTCCATCACCATCGCATTGTGAGAGGCCCAGACGCTCGGACTGATACAATCGCCGTCAGCATTGGTGAAGTCGGCCATGGCCGTCTGCCCTTCAAGTCTACGGCGGCACAAAAAGAAAGATATGAGAGAGGATTTGCAGGCCAAGTGAGAAGAAAAATATATATTATTAAGCAGGCTTTTTATTTTTATAAATATGTACAGAAAACATGAATAAGTACATACAGATTTCACTGTATCTGAAGAAGTGTGCGTGCACACGAAAACGTATACCTTGAATAAAAACTCCCTTGGTCTTAAAGGTGCCCCTGGACTCTGACTTTGTTGGACAGAGATCACTTGTCATTCTTATCACAAAACTTCACAATTCATTCCAAATGATTTTTGACTCTCGAAAGGAAGTACTTCTTCACCCAAAGAGTGATTAACACTTGGAATTCACTGCCACAGGAGGTGGTGGCGGCTACAAGCATGGACGGCTTCAAAAGGGAATTAGATAAGCATATGGAGCAGAGGTCCATCAGTGGCTATTAGCCACAAGGTATAGATAGGGGCTCTAGGGCAAGGGATGCTCTGTCTTCTTGGTACTTGGGGGGGGCAACAGTGGGAGGGCTTCTAATGTCCTGGCCCCACTGGTGAACCTCCTGATGGTACCTGGTATTTTTGGCCACTGTGTGACACAGAGTGTTGGACTGGATGGGCCTTTGGCCTGATCCAACATTGGCATCTCTTATGTTCTTATGAAAGCTTATACCCTGGAAAATGTTATTGGTCTTTAAGGTCTCAGGGGACTCAAGTTTTGTTCTTGCTGCACAAAAAAATGTTAGAGTTTTATACCTTATCTACCAGAATTGTTCTTATTGAACATTCTACCAGAGAACCGTAAAAAGCAAGATTCTTATCTTATTATACATGTAGTGACAACTTCAAGAATACTGTATGCTAAGTATCGGAGAAGAAATGAGATACCCTGAAGAGAAGAAATTATAAATCACCTGCAGAAATGGACAAATTAACCTTCGTGTCGAGAGGACAAGCTGAAGGAAGCTTTGAAAATACATGGCTAAGATTCTATAAGTGGGTTGAAGAATACAATAAATAAAACATATTGGCCTACAACCAATTCAGAAGGGGAAAAGAACTTTATTTTTAATCTTATGCAAAAGACTTATACAAAAATACAAGGTGGAATATAGATACGAATAACCAAATATTGTGTGAGGTATTCAAATAGATAATTTAATGATGTATTGGAAACCCCCAATGTATGTTTGTTTGTGTTTGTTCCTTATAAAATAAAAAAGTTATACTATGGGTGCTTTAAAAAAAAGTTTTGTTCTTGTTGGAATTACTCATGTGTCACTTTGTAAAACTGTTCTGTTTTTTAATTGTTTGATGGGGATAACTGTGTCAGTCACCCAGAGCGTTTTGAAAAGGGGCATCAAGGAAAATACAGTGTAAAACAAATTTTACAATGGTGGAATCTGGGATAGAGAAGGGGATGAAAAAGGCTCCTCTCTAAATCCGGGTTGAATGTTAGGCACCTGGACAAACAGATGTCTAGATATTTTTTTTCCAGCCCTTTCCTGCATTCTCTGAATAACCACAACCTGCCCTAATACTGAGGAACAGAGCAGCGGAGTGAGTTATGGCTTCATGTTAGAACTGGAGTGACACAGGTTCAGGTCTCCACCTTGACATGAAACACACCAGAAAACCTTCGGCAAATCCCCGTCTCCCGGTCTAGCCGACCTCACAGGGCTGTTGGAGACAGGGCAAATGATATATACCACCCTGAGCTCCTAGAAGAGAAGAAGAGATTGGATTTATACCACGCCCTTCACTTGGAGTCTCAGAGCACCTTACAAAATCCTTCCCTTCCCAACAGACACCCTGTGAGGTACGTGGGGCTGAGAGAGCTGTGAGAGAACTGCCCTTTCAAGGACAGCATTGACAGAGCTATGGCTTGCCCAAGGTCATCCAGCAGCTGCAAGTGGAGGAGTGGGGAATCAAACCTGGTTCTCCCAGATTAGAGTCCGCGCACTTAACCGCTGCACCAAACTGGCTCTCCTAGAAGGTGGGTAGGATAAAAATACAGCTTTGGGAGGCAATGTCTTTAGAGTGAACACGTTTCAGCCTTGGGGTGCACCTTTTAAAAAAAAAAAATTACACCTCTGGCGCAAAAGGTTTCCAACAAGTCAGCCTCTTACAAGCACGAACTTACAGCCGCAAATCTGTAGATTTGCTAACTGCTACAAATCTAGTTTATTTCAATCAGTTGAAATCATGACAGGGTTCACCCTTTCAACAATGATAAATTGGGGAGGGGGGATATGAAATACAGACGCTACTTACTTTGCTAGCAAACCTAAACTTTCTGCTGTAATGACATAAAATGCATCGTTTTGAACTTTATTTGAATATACCGATTGCACTGTTTGGCATATTTACAGCCTTTAAAAATATAACAGTCCCATCCTAAGACCACTGAATAGCCTGAAGTAGGATTCTGAGAAGACAGGCTCAGGAGGGGACTATAACTGCCTGAATTTTCTACAATCAACTTTTGCAAATATACCGAACACCTGAGAAAGACAGAAAGCAGCAAACTGATGCATTCTATGATACCTTAAGCACATCTATCTGAACCTGAGAGACAAGAAAAGAATAAAAGAGGGTTCTTGTAGTAAAGAAGAAAGGTTGCTGCTTGGATGGAAACCGTACTTGGATGGACAACCACAGTATGTAAGAACCTAAGAAGAGCACTGATGGATCAGACCAGTGAGGGTCCTTCTAGTCCAGCATCCCGTCTCACACAGCGGCCAACCAGTTCCCCTGGAGGGCCAACAAACAGGCCATAGAGGACGAGGCCTTCCCCTGATAAGAACCTCAGAAGAGCCCTGCTGGATCAGACCAATGAGGGAACCTCTAGTCCAGCATCCTGTCTCACACGGTGGCCAACCAGTTCCCCTGGAGGGCCAACAACAGGGCAGAGAGGCCAAGGCCTTCCCCTGAGAAGAACATCAGAAGGGCCCTGCTGGATCAGACCAGTGAGGGTCCCTCTAGTCCAGCATCCCATCTCACGCTGTGGCCAACCAGTTCCTCTGGACGGCCAACAACAGAGCAGAGAGGATGAGGCCTTCCCCTGAGAAGAACATCAGAAGAGCCCTGCTGGATCAGACCAGTGGAGGTCCATCTAGTCCAGCATCTCGTCTCATTCCAGAGGACCCACAACAGGGCAGAGAGGCCAAGGCCTTCCCCCGATAAGAACATCAGAAGGGCCCTGCTGGATCAGACCAGTGAGTCCCTCTAGTCCTCTGGACGGCCAACAACAGAGCAGAGAGGACGAGGCCTTCCCTTGAGAAGAACATCAGAAGAGCCCTGCTGGATCAGACCAGTGGAGGTCCATCTAGTCCAGCATCCCGTCTCACACAGGGGCCAGCCAGTTCCTCCAGAGGACCCACAACAGGGCAGAGAGGCAGAGGCCTTCCCCTGAGAAGAACACCAGAAGGGTCTCAGGCAGAGGTCTTCCACATCATCTACCACCAGATCCCTTTAGCTAGAGATGCCGGGGATTGAACCTGGGACTTTCTTCCCGAGATCTCACATTTCTAAGCAGGGCCTTTGCAGAAGATCTTAATGGGTAGGCACAAGTTTGTATGGGCAGACAGACTTTTTTGGGGGGGAAGAATGCATTTTCCAGTGTCGAACGCCCATGTGTCAAAACGCCATCAGCCGGAGAAAGACGACCCAAAACGGCTCTGATCTGCTGACTGCCTTTAGCCAGCGTGACCCTTGTTAAGAATTTCGAGAGTAACAAAGCCAAGTCTGTTTTCATGGAAACGAAAAAAGCCCCGCTTTAATCATTGACTCCTCAAGGATAGCAAAGGCCCGCCCAGAGTCAATCGGGCAGCCATATTTGGGTTGGCAACCCGCAAGCAGCTAAAGTCCATTTTGCGAAATCGTGCCTTCGTATTAGCGCTTCCCAGGTGTCGCAGGCTTGGAAGCAAAGATCAGGGAGACGAGGAACTCCGCCTTCTCAAGAAGTGCTCAGGCTGTGCCATGAAAACAGGCCCTCCCCTAAGCGATCATCAGCAAGAGGCTGGCAACTCGAAAGGCCCCCTCCCGCTCCACCATAGAAGCTTGTTAGGTGACCTTGGGCCTGTGGCTCGCTCTCAGCCTCACCTACCTTGCAGGGCTGTTGAGAGGATAAAATTTAGAACGTTGTTAAGCCCCTTTGGATCCCAGCTGGGGGGAAAACATGGTATAAAACAAAAAGATAAACAGAGATCCAGGGTGGTGGAGTGTCCAACTACAACCTGGGAGACCCAGGTTTGAATCCCCACTCTGCAGGCCCGTCACTACAGTGGGGCTTTTGGGGCCTCAATCATTTAAAAACATTTTTTTTAAGGCATGCGCTCCTTTAAGCAGAGTGAGGTGCTGTTAGTTGACTGATTCCCACCCTGAGCAAAGGGGGTTGGAGTAGGTGACCTCTAGGATCCCTTCTAACTCTGTGTCAAGAGACTGGTCTCCTTTAAGAGAGTTTCTCTGCCTAAGTGTTAGCTTGCTTGTCAAAGTCATCATCCCCACCTGCCAGCTCCTTATCAGAACTGTTGCTTAGGCTGGCAGAAGTGATTAACTTGCAGCAGCTGAGAACTTGTCATCTAAAGTGGTTGACAGCTTGCAATTTAGACATCTATCCTAGTAACAGCTTTTTATTGGCTGAATGGCTTTTTTTTCTGCACTGAGAACTTCAGTCCCACCAGGAGAAAAAAAATGCCCCAAAAGCCACAAAATGCTGGCTACGGGTCTGGTTGTAAGCCCCTTTGGGTCCCCATTAGGAAGAAAAGCATGGTATAAAACAAAGATAAACTGAGATCCACGGCGGTGGAATGGTTAAGACTGCCCAGCTAGAATCTGGGAGACCCAGGTTCGAATCCCCACTCTGCCACGGAAGCTTTGTGGATGTGTGTAAATGAATGAATACATAAAAATCGCTGGAAAAGTTGCAAACGCAAATACCAATCCTGGGGGCACTCTATGCAGAAAGCGCTTCTAGGTCAGAAATGGCATGAGATGTAGAGAAAGAGCAGGTAGAGAAAGAGGTACTTTTCTCCCTTTCTCACAATACAAGAACTCGTGGGCACTCCATGAAATTGCTGAGCGGTCGGGTTAGAACGGATAAAAGGAAGTACTTCTTCACCCAAAGAGTGATGAACACATGGAATTCACTGCTACAGGAGGTGGCGGCGGCTACAAGCATGGACGGTTTCAAAAGGGATTTAGATAGGCATATGGAGCAGAGGTCCATCAGTGGCTATTAGCCACAAGGTATAGATAGGGGCTCTGGGGCAAGTGATGCTCTGTCTTCTTGGTGCTTTGGGGGGGGGGCGCAACAGTGGGAGGGCTTCTAATGTCCTGGCCCCACTGGTGGACCTACTGGTGGCACCTGGTATTTTTGGCCACTGTGTGACAGAGTGTTGGACTAGATGGGCCTTGGCCTGATCCAACATTGGCGTCTCTTATGTTCTTATGTTCCTTAGTGGCCCCATGTGACAGTCATGCACAAACGTGTATTTCAAAAGCTACTCTTTTGGAACAGGAGTGCTCAGCCGGACAAGATTTGTTTCGGGGAGGGGGGAGAACGACCATTTGCCCCTTGCCATATATTAACAGCTGAAACAGGGGCTGGCCAGATTAATGGAGAACACCTCCTATAAGTCACGACAACTAAACAGAGCCTCCACATTCAGGGGCAGTATATCTTTGAAGCACAGCTGCAGAGAAAGCAACCGAAGGGGGAAATTCGAGCTCCCGTGGCCAACAGGGTGTGAGACCCTCGGATCTGATCCAGCAGGGCTCTTCTGAGGCACTGAAAAAGGGTCTTTGGTCAGCATTTTACAGTTCGCTTCCGAAAGGCCCTGGGAGAAAGGTTCGTTTAAAGGCACGCTAGGATCATCAAAGACACCGGTCCTGTTGCTTTCCCCGGCAGGGCTACTCTAACAACTGTGGGGCAGGCAGATGTTCTGCAGGGGCGGTTTCCCCAAGTGGTGGTGGTGGAAAACTCGCCCTGCTGAGTTTCTGCCTGTCGTGCAATTGTGGGAAGGCTCTTGCCAAGTTGCAATAGGCGTAAGAGGGAGGAGGAAAGGCCTAAGATCTTGCAAAAAAAAAAAAAAAAGGAATAAAAGATTTTAAACACTTGCCTGGATTCCTAAGAGCCCCACGCACCAAAGAGTCCCTAGAAAGAAAGAGGGCTCCTCCCTCCCGCCCCCCCTGATTTAAATACTGCGGGCCTCGCGCCCCGGGAATGGAACCTTCAGCGCTGTCTCGAGCGCGTCGCAGCCAATCAGCGCGCTCCGACGGGTCTATACTCGTCCAATCAGGAGACGCTTATCTGGGCCGCCCTCTCCCCGCCTCGCTCGTGATTGGCTGGTGGAGTCCGTCCTTGAGAGGGAGCGTCGCCTTCTCTGAGATTGCGAAAGGCGTGAGCACCCTTAGCTGAGCAGGGTGGAGAAGCTTGGTGGACGTTCGAAACGAGAGTCTTCGAGCATGTGCAGAGTACCGTCTCGGTTTTTTTCCTTCCCAAGCGCAACTCTTTTAAAGGGCCTAAACGGAGAGTTCCTGAGCATGTCCCTTTAATACTTAAAAAAATATCAACGTGGCGCTAGAAAGCCCATTGAAGTCCTATTACGTCTCTCTGTTTTCTCCTGTTGTCGTTCACTTGGGACCTTTAAGGCTGTTTCTGATAGTGGTTTTTTTTAAATTTTATTTCTTTCAACAGACAAAACATAACCAAACAAAAAATAGACACAGCAATAGTTCCAAATAGGGGACAGCAGGATCTCTCCAGAATCATAAAAACCAATACAACGTAGATTGGAAACATAGAGTGGTATCAGATATGTACAAACAAGTCAATATTTCAAACCAGCTTACAATGTTTTTAACTGCAAAGAGCAGGCATTCCCAGAAAGACATAACTATACATCACCTTCCTGGAATTCACTGCTGTGTCGTATACATATGCTAATCTGTTTCTGAAAGCTGCTAACAGTTTTAGGGGTCTCATTCATACTTTAGCAACGACTTTAAGCGTCTTGTTATTGCTGTTACTTGTATTACTAAAGTTAGGGGGGAAATTAAGAACTCGGTTAAAATATGTATTTATTTACAGCGTTTATATCCCGCTTTCCTCCCATTGGGGGCCTGAAGTGGCTTGTATAATTTGCCCACTATTTTTGTCCTCACTACGACAACCCTGTGGGGCTGGTTAGGCTGAGAGGATGGGATTGGCCTGAAGTCACTCAGTGAGCATCCATGATAGAGGATTCGAACCTGGGTCTCCCGGATCCTAGTCCAACACCCCCATTACTACTCCACGCTGGATAATATATGATTAACATTGTACGAGTCCAGCAGCACCTGAAAGACTAATGAAATTTGTGGCAGGGGAGGAGCTTTCGTGAGTCACTGCTCAGATCTTCAGATACAGCTAGAAGGTGAGTCCATCTGCCCTTACGTCTTGGGCAGTGGACTGATTTCAGATTCAAGATATAAGGACCGATGGACTCCCCTTCTAACTATCTGAAGAAGTGAGCCGTGACTCACAAAAGCTCCTCCCGCTGCTGGGCTCTGGCTCTTTTCTGCTGCTACAGACAGACGAACGTAGCTACCCATCTGGATCTAACATTGCATGGTTCTTTCAGCCCAGAGGGCATCCAGTGCCACTTTAAAAGACTGACAACGTTTATTCCAGCAGAAGCTTTGGTGAATTCTTACTTTCAAACACTTCCACTCGAATAAACTTGATGAGTCTTTACGGTGCAGCGCCCCATGACTTCTGTTTTATCGATTACGTGGATTTGCCGTCTTTCCTCCTGGCGCTTTCACTGTACGTTGGCATACCATCATGAAAGCAGCTAGATCAGAGTCCCCAACGAGGCCTTTCCTGTCACCTGCCGAGTGTTCTTCGAAAGCGTGTGGGGCCAGGCAGGGTTCCTACCCAGCAGGGCTTTTAATTGGCCAGTGCAGTTCTAACTGACTGTGTGCAGATTTAAATAATGTCATTTTGGTGGCAGGCATCAGCGCAGCATTACTTTTATTCTCCCGCTCACTCCCCTTTCCCCGATGTATTTTTAAAAAATTAATCCTCTCCTCCACCCCTGCGATTGCCATTTTGTGGTTGGCTCCGCCTCTCGCAGTAGCCATTTTGTGGCCACGCCCACCACCCTGTCTCAGAATTCCAAAGGTGCCTGCAGGCTTAAAAAGGCTGGGGAACCCTGAGCTAGATAGACTTCTTGGGAAAGGGTGTTCCAGAGACACAGGGCCATCCCTGGAAAGTCCACGCCTCCGTTTATGGTTGCCAGCCTCCAGGTGGGGCCTGGAGATTTCCCACTTTTACAACTGATCTCCAGCTGACAGAGTTCAGCTCTCCTGGAGAAAAGGGCTGCTTTGAAGGGTCAACTCTACGGCATTGTACCATGATGAGGCCCCTCCCCTCCCCAAACCCCGCCCTCTCCCAGATCGACCCCCAAAGTCTCCAAGTATTTTCCAACCCGACTCTGCCACCGTTGGAAGAAGTACCCAGAATCTCCAGAGGGTCAAATCCAATAGATAGCACATTGAGGAACAAGAGCATGGAATAAATGAGATTCTGTGAATTCCCCCTAAACTCAGACCCATGGGAAGAAGGAAAAAACGATAGGCTGGTTGAGTCACCCTTTGGGAAGCTCTCTCTAAGTCATCTTGACGGTCTGTGTTAAAAAAACATTGCAACAAAAATTAGAAGTCCAAAGGCATCTCTCGAAGAGGCCGAAAGAACTGGTGAGTCTTTCCATCTTTTCCTTAACCACTGATGCTTTTTGCCCAAGAATGAAAACACCGAATGTTGAGACCATTTGGGGTTATTTTTGGCAATAACTGGGAGGGATGAAGAGGAAAGATATGGGGCAATTTGTTTTCTTTTTGGTAAGGTAAAGGTTTCCCTTGCTCGAAAGCCAGTGGAATCTGACTCTAGGGTTGCGGTGCTCATCTCCGTTTCCAAGCCGAAGAGCCAGCGCTGTCCAAAGACGTCTCTGTGGTCATGTGGCTGGTGTGACTAGATGTCAAGGTGCACGGAATGCTGTTCCCTTCCCACCGAAGTGGTACCTATTTATCTACTTGCAACTTCTTGCTTTCAAACTGCTAGGTTGGCAGGAGCTGGGGCCAGAGACGGGAGCTCACTCCGTCATGTGGCACTCGGGTCTCGAACTGCTGAACTACCAACCTTCCGGTCTGCAGCTCAGCATCTTAACCACTTGAGCCACCGCAGCCCATTTTCCTTTTGGTAGCAGTGGTTATAAATAAATCACATTGGTTTTCTGCTGTTAGCTGAAACATTAGACCAGAGTAACAAATTACAGGCCAGACAAATCCAAAAGAACACGGAACGGAAACACGACAGGCCTCTAGAAAAGATGCCAATCACCCATTAATACATTTTAACTACAAATATCCAAACTGTAATCAGTTGCATTCAAAATGAGAATAATCGCACCGTTGTTCCATGACTAACACTGCCAAAACTCAAGTGGAATTTGTTTTCCTTGGCTAAAACTATTCTAGTTTTGATCGGGCTGACCAATTATGTTCACAGTATGTCAATAACTGGCACAGGGCTAATATCTTGGTCTTCTTTCCTCAAAAGGCTCTTTTATCGATGGTGTTTATAAGATCGTGAGAGCCAAAGACTATGCTGAGGGTTGAGAACGTCTCTTCTTTGCCCTTCCTCTCCAATACCACCTTATCTCATGGAAACACCACCTGGCACACCGACGACTACCGTGCTCTCCAAAGAATCATGCACATCCTATCCATGGTGGTCTATGCCGTGGCGTGTCTCCTGGGGGTGTCCGGAAACGGCCTCGTCATCTGGATCGCGACCTGCAGGATGAAGAGGACGGTCAATGCCGTGTGGTTCCTCAACCTGGCGGTGGCTGATTTCATCTTCACGTTCTTCCTGCCTCTGAGCATTGCGTACACAGCTCTGGGCTTCCATTGGCCCTTTGGGAAGCTACTGTGCAAGCTAAACAGCACCGTGGCCTTCCTGAACATGTTCGCCAGTGTCTTCCTCTTGACGGTCATCAGCATGGATCGGTGCGCTTCGGTGGTTTACCCGGTGTGGTCCAGAAACTACCGGACCCCCAAGTTGGCCTGCGGCATTGCCCTGGTCACATGGATCGCCGCCTTTGTCCTAAGCGCTCCGTATCTCGTGTTCCGAGACACGGCGACGAATTCCAGGCACGTGATCAGCTGTTACAATAATTTTGCTCTGTCCGGTGACTACAGTGCTGAGGAGACCCGAAGGATCTGGAAGATCCGGCAGAGAGCCATGATCGTAACCAGATTCCTGTTCGGCTTCCTGATTCCATTCTCCGTGATCCTGGTTTGCTACACCGCTGTCGTGTTCAGGATGAAGAAGAGGCGTCTGACCAAGTCCGGCAGGCCCTTCCGGATCATCTTTGCCGTAACGGGGTCGTTCTTCCTGTGCTATTTCCCTTACCACGTCTTCTCCTTGCTGGAAATGTCCAAAATGTCTTCCAGTCACGAGTTCAAAGTGGCCCTTTACGTTGGGATCCCTTTGGCTTCTAGCCTGGCGTTCTTCAACAGCTGCATCAACCCGATCCTCTACGTGTTTGTCGGGCAGAAGACATTCCGGCAGTCGATCCTTTTGGCATTCGAAGGGGCTTTCGGCGAGGACTCCCTGCTGTCCACCTTGTCCAGCAAGAGGAAATCAAGATCCGTTTCCCAGGCAGAGATGCCAACTGGGTTGCAACTTGTGCCAAATCACCTGCCAGAACCCTAGGCGTGTTACGGTTGGCTTTTCTAATGTGTATCCGTGCGACCGATTTCTTTGACTCGTGTTGGCTTCGGTTAGGTTGCAAGAATGAAACTGCGCTCAATATTTGACCTTCACAATTTTCACATTTCAGATACATTGGTCAAACATAGAAACGCTGGTGCACCATAATGCGGTGGTGCTTTGTGTGTATATAAATTATCCAAATAATTGTTTTCTAAGACTTGTCTGAAGAAGAAGAGATTGGATTTATTCCCTGCCATTCAATACTCAGAGGAGTCTCAGAGGGGCTTACAAACTCCTTTCCTTTCCCTTCCCCTCCCCACAACAGACACCCTGTGAGGGAGGTGGGCCTGAGAGAGCTCTGGCAGAAACGGCTCTTTTTCAAGGACAGCTGTGCCAGAGCTTGTGACTGACCCAAGGTCACATCAGCAGGAGCAAGTGGAGGAGTGGGGAATCAAACCCAGTTCTCCCAGGTTAGAGTCTGCGCACTGAAGCACTACACCAAACTGGGTCTTTTGAATAAGTATGTGTGTGTGTGTTTCACAGCCACTTTGTGCCAGTTTATGCGTCTTTGTAAGCTGGCCCTGAAGATCAAGTTTCGTGAAAAGGCGTGGCTGAAATATTTGAAATAAAAACACATTGATAAATTGAGATCAAATCATTTCAAGAAAACAGCAAGGTAGTTATATGTATGCTATGATGCTAAAGAGGGGGATTAAGTTTTAGATTTTCTTTATTTGGGGTTGCCAGCTCTGGGTTGGGGAATTCCTGGAGATTTGGGGGTGGAGCCTGAGGAGGGCGGGGTTTGGAGAGAGGAGGGACCTCAGCGGGGTATAAGGCCACAGAGTCCACCCCCCCCCCAAAGCAGCCATTTTCCCCAGGGTAACTGACCTCTGTCAACTGGAGATTTGCGGTAATTCTGGGAGATCGCCGAGCCTCCTGTGGAAGAAGAAGAGATTGGATTTATAGCCCGCCCTTCACTACCCAAAGGAGTCTCAGAGCGGCTCACAAACTCCTTTCCCTTCCCCTCCCCACAACAGATACCCCATGAGGTAGGCAGGGCTGAGAGAGCTCTCTCGAGGACTGCCCTTGAAAGAACAGCTCTGAATGAACTTATAACTGGCCCAAGGTCACACCAGCAGCTGCATGTGGAGGAGTGGGGGATCAAATCCGGTTCTCTCAGATTAGAGTCCACGCTCCTAAATGCTATACCAAAGTGGCTTTCAAGCTGACAACCTTGTTTTAGTGTTTAGATGAGTTCGGGATAGGGTTGCCAAATATGTTTTGGCCGGGAGCGGGGGGCTCCCGGCCGGCGTCTGGAACGTGCGTGCGCGTGCGCGTCACCTGGAAGTGACGTCACACGCTGGGGGCGGGGACACGCCATTTGAGGGGAAAAACCGCCAATACACACTCCTGCACGTCGGTAGTGTAGACGCCGGGGGGCGACGCAACTGCGCGGTGAGGCGGGATAAGGGAGGTAAGTGTGATCACAATTATCCAGATCAAATATAATCCGGACAGAACCGGAGCAGTTTAACCCGCTCTCAGCACGCCGTCTGACTGCACCCCAACACTATTAACTACTACACCACTTTGGATCTCCCATATAATGCACGTCATGTGAGTAAAACAGAAAAGCAATTTTTAGATGCGCTTGGACTGAGCACCAGAACTCAGATGGCTGGCAGATAATCCTGTTAATGGTCTTTGTGTGCTTTTCCGTCCGGAATCTTCCTTGATCTCCCACACAGATGTTTCTAGTCCAGTTGTGGTACTGCCATTTTAAGTGGTTTCAAGCAGGCGGCTCTACATTTTCCTAGCCACTTTGGTCTTTTTTTCTTCTTCACTCCGTTCATAAATCAAATAGCATTGTTGCTTAATAAATAAAAATATCTTGCTGGTTGGGGTTAAAGGCAGTTTCGGGTCTGGGGTGGGTGGGAAACAACAACCTGAAGATGACTTCCAGCTCGCCTCCAATGCTCCCGCTAAGCCGTGGAGTCCTGTGAGCAGAAATTCTGCTTTGTGAACTACTGGCATTAAAGTTGTGAGCAAGCGGTTTGGCTACTGCAAAAATCAGTTTGCTCTGGAGCCATCCGTCCTGAGCTAAAGCAAAAATGTGTGAGCCGGAGGCTAAAAAACTGTGAGTGAGCTCACACTAACTCCGCTTAGAGGGAACATGCCTCTCTGCTTTCCCTGTGTGGATGAACTTCCAAGGTCTTTCAAATTTTCACATGGGTGGCTGGCTTTCGCGGGTGTGTGGGAGGAATGGGAGGGACTTTTGAGAAGATAGGAGAAATATTTGCCCTTTGCCTTTGTTAAGAATCATGTTCAGTCTGCAGACTGGAAAAGATGGCAGGCTCCCGATGACAGGGAGTCACTGTGGCAGTTCCCTTTGACCCATCTATGAAAGGGTTGTTTAATAGCATGGAATCAGGAAGCGAAACCGAGGGGTTTAAAACCACTTGGAGCAGGGAGGAAGCAAGTGATGGAGGCTGGTCTCCAAGAGAGCAAGAAGGAGGGAGAGACTGAACTAACGGAATGGGCACAGGAGCTCAGATGGGTCATACCAGGACAGCACTCCTTTTGTTTCCCAAAAGATGGCAGGGTTGCCAATTTTGGATTAAGAAACTCCTGGACATTTCCCAACTGTGCTCAACTTTGGAGTACGGTCCACACTACGCGTTCCCCTCCCTGCCCTTGAATCCAGCCCTGCATGTTTTCAGCATCGACACATTAGTGTGTGTGCACATGTATATGCCCCAAAGAACATTTTAAGGCAATGCAAACATCTCCCCCTGCCCCCAAGCAAACTAGGGTCGAAAAAAGGAAACAGGAATTGTCGCTGGTGTATGAAGTCCAGGGGTCATTTCCTGCGGGAGCACACAGGAGTGGAGCTCCGGCAGTACGGAGCTCAGGGGGCGGGCACATGCAGCAAGCCCCGCCCCCTGCTCCCAGCAGCCCTCAGTCGGGCCATGAGGAGCAAGAAGCAGCTGGGTAAGTTGCAGGGCGGCACCACGCCAGCCGCCCCTCAAGCTCTCCCTCGTCTTTGAGGGCAGATCTGCGTGTTCCCCCCCCATAGCTAGCAATCCAAAACAGTCCAGTGGCACCTTTAAGACCATTTTTATTCAGGTACAAGCCCTCCCTCCTCTGAGTGGACAGATCTGCACATCCGTCCCCCCCCCCAATAGCTAGCAATCCAAAACAGTCCAGCGGAGCCTGAGCGGTTGGTGTTGTCTTCTGACACACTTCCGGTGATGTCAGGGGATGTGGCATATGCAAATAAGTTATGCTAATGAGTTATGCTAATGAGCTCCTGCACCTTTTTTCTACGAAATGACCCCTGATGAAGTCTACATAAAGAAGAGAAGAAGAGATTGGATTTATACCCCGCATTTCACTACCCAAAGGTGTCTCAGAGCGGCTTACAAACTCCTTTCCCTTCCCCTCCCCACAACAGACACCCCTGTGAGGCAGGTGGGGCTGAGAGAACTCTTGACAGAAACTGCTCTTTTTCAAGAACAGCTGTGCCAGAGTTATGGCTTGCCCAAGGTCATCCAGCCAGGTGCAAGTGGGGGAGTGGGGAATCAAACCCGAATCTCCCAGATTAGAGTCCGCGCACTTAACCACTACACCAAACTGGCTCTCCAGAATGGTCAGAATGTTGAAATCACAGATAAAGGAAGACCTGGGTTGAAATTCATACTTGTCTATGATTCTCAGTAGGCGATTTTAGACATTCTTTGAGAGCCAGTGTGGTGCAGTGAGAAGAGTGTTGGGCTAGAACATAAGAACATAAGAGAAGCCATGTTGGATCAGGCCAGTGGCTCATCCAGTCCAACACTCTGTGTCACACAGTGGCCCAAACTCAGGAGTCCTGGGTTCCAATCCACCACACTGCAAGGTAAGCCCCCGGGGTAACCTTGGGCCAGTCACATGCTCCCCACCTAACCTACCTCATAGGGTTGTCGTGAGGACAAAACAGAAGCGAATCAGGTTAAGCTGCTTTGGGCGAAAGGCGGGGTATAAATGGAAGTACAATAAAACAAATATTTTGTGAGTTGCAAAGAAATATTTGCCTGTTTGTCTGAGGGGGGGAGAGCCAAGTTGGCTTGTTTTTTTAGCAAAATAAAACAAAAGCAAAGTGAAGGTTGCCAGCCTCCTGTTGGAGTCTGGAGGTCTCCCGAAATTACAACTGATCTCCGGTCTACAGAGATCAGTTCCCTTGGAGCTGGGATTTTTTTCTTTTTTGGAAAAGAGGTGCCGGAACTCTCAAGACGGAAATGAAGTTTTCAACCTGTATACTGAAATTTTTAAACATTTCAAAAAAGAATTTCGTCTGAAAGGTTCCGGAACCCTGTTCCGGTATGTTTCCCCCTCAAAAAAGCCCTGCCCTGGAGAAAATGGCAGCTTTGGATAGGGTTTGGGGAACGGGAAAGACCTTAGTGGGGTGTAATGCCCTAGAGGTGGGCCGCCTTCCCCCATATATACCCCAGAGCAATGTTCCCTCTAAGCTGTGGAATCTTGTGAGCAGAAATTCTACTTTGTGAGCTACTGGCATTAAAGCTGTGAGTGAGCGATTGGGCTCCTGCATAAATTAGCCTGCTCTGGAACCATCCTTCCTGAGCTAAGACAAAAAACTGTGAGCTGGAGGCTAAAAAACTGTGAGCGAGCTCACACTAACTCAGCTTAGAGGGAACACTGCCCCAGAGAGCACTACGGTGAGGGTCTCAAAACCGATTGAGCCTCCCGGGCCCCAAGGATGCGAGGCTTGCTACCACCAGGGCCAGGGCCTTCTCAGTGGCGGCTCCCTCCTGGTGGAACGAGCTCCCGAAGGAGATCAGGGCCCTGCGGGATCTTTAACAGTTCCACAGGGCCTGGCAGAAGAGCTCCGTCTTGCAGGCCCTGCGGAACTGTTAAAGATCCCGCAGGGCCTGCAAGACGGAGCTCTTCCGCCAGGCTTTCAACGAAGGAGCCGCCACCATTACAGATCCCTGGCCACTATAGAGTCCTGGCCCTTGGGTCTGACATCAAGCCTATGCTGCCCGTATCTATCGAAAACATCACGAGCTGAAGGACTGCTAGATCTTTGGGCACGTTGTCAAAACACGGCATCGTAAATACGTAACTGACCATCACCAGCACTTTATGAACCCGACTGTATAACTTGAATTGCTTTAAATGTTTTTAAGGTGGATTTTAATTGTTATTTATGTGTCAACCTGTGCTTTGACTGATGCGAGGGGTACAAATCGAGCCCAATAAATAAATAAGTAAATAAGTAAATAGGTAGGTAAGTAAGGACCTTTGTGGGGTCTGATGCCCTAGAGGCAGGGGTGGATTAAAGCTCATTGGTGCCCTAAGCACTGACCAATCTTGGTGTCATAGCCTATGACACTGCACCTCGCCAACAAAAAATAGAAGATAACCCTAGGGTGCACCATGATCAATGTGCACTAGTTTTATCTTTTTTATTTATTTTTTTACAAATCTTGATTCATTTTTTCTTTTTTCCTTTTCACCCTTTCCCCAACTTTGTGGTGCCCCGCTTCATGGTTAATCCGCCCCTGCCTAGAGGTGGGACTCTATGGCATTAAACCCCACTCAAGTCCTTCCCTTCCCCAAACCCGAACCCCTCTAAGTCCTGAGCCCCCAAATCTCCAGGAATCCCCCTACCCAGAATTGGCAACCCTCGGAAACCCCCCTAAACTCCCTAAAAGCACTCCAGCCCCCAAATCTCCAGGAATCCCCCTACCCATAATTGGCAACCATAGGAAACACCCCTAAAATCCCTAAAAGCACTCCAGCCCCCAAATCTCCAGGAATCCCCCTACCCATAATTGGCAACCATAGGAAACACCCCTAAAATCCCTAAAAGCACTCCAGCCCCCAAATCTCCAGGAATCCCCCTACCCATAATTGGCAACCCTCGGAAACCCCCCTGAAATCCGTAAAGCACTCCGGGCCCCACATCTCCAGGAATCCCCCTACCCATAATTGGCAACCCTCGGAAACCCCCCTGAAATCCGTAAAGCACTCCGGGCCCCACATCTCCAGGAATCCCCCTACCCATAATTGGCAACCCTCGGAAACCCCCCTGAAATCCCTAAAAGCACTCCAGCCCCCCACCTGGAGATTGGCAACCCTATAAAAAACTGGAGCCCCGCCACCCCCGCAAGGAGCGACCCCACAGATTAAACCCTCAGTTCGAGGCGCGTTCTGTCGCCCCGCCTCTCCAGGCGACACGCGTGTCCGGCGAACGTGAGGAACTAGGCAGACTAGGCCCGCGTGTCAGGAGGAGGAGGAGGAGAGCGGAGCGCGGCCCTTCTCCCCCGTCCCCAGAGCCGAGAAAGGGAAGGGAGGTTGAAGCGAGAGGGGGGAAAGAGAGGTCGGG